GGGGTCAAGCATTCAAAGAAACAGAGGAGGCTGCAGGCAGGGAAGAGTGGGTGGAGAGGAGTATCGGGACAGAAAGACAGGCAGCAAGAGTGAAAAGGGAAGGTCTACGAGATTGTAGTGCGACCTTCTGTGATGTAGGGGTTGGAGACTGTGGCACTGACAAAAAGACAGGGGGCAGTGCTGGAAATACTAAGATATTCACTGGTTGTGACCAGCATGGACGGGATTAGAAATGCTCAGGTTTGGAGAAAGTTGGAGAGGCAAGGCTGAAGTGGTTTGGAGAAAGTTGGAGAGGCAAGGCTGAAGTGGTTTGGAGATGTGTATTGGACCAAGGATGTTGAAGGTGGAGCTGTCAAGCTATCAGAGGGGAATAACACAAAGGATTCATGGATATAGTGAAGGAGGTAAAATAAGATTTTAAGCTCTTTTCTGAACATGTAAAACTACACCAAGTTTTACAAGCACCTGTGACGGTGAGAGGGATAATAACACACCGGTGGACTGGAGGTAAACAAGCTTTTCAGTAAGTACATATTTAAATTAAAGCTCAATTTTCTCCTAACAAACGCAAACGAAGACATGACTTTTAAATAGAGACACAAAGGAGCTTCGAGGTAATTTAACCCCCTATCAGAGCACCACCACCGTGTAAGGGACCCACGGGGGAGCCATAATAAAGGTCACATCAAGCACACCTCCCACCGAGGCCATTCAATTTCGAAATTGCCTGTAGAGTCACACCGAGGCCAGATCCACAGATTGGAAATGATCGTTCAGGCTAAAGGTTAAATAAAGGTTCCGTGATAAGGACGTGAGGAGGGGGAAAATCGAATTACATTGTGCAAAGAAATGGAAAAGAAAGGCCACAACCTTTTTGATATTTGTCTAAGGAGCTTCCAAGACCTTTAAAATGAAATCCAGATCAAGACTACGCGTCTAACTATCGTGTGATCAAGCAGGAAACTGGTGTTTAGGCTTTAAAGCGGGCATATGTTTGGCTTCACCGACTCTAAACCTCTCCAGCTGAGCTTTAAGCCCTTGTTACTACAGTCCGGTGCTACATCAAGGTCAACCCCGGCGGTTATCCACACGCTCTCTTACAGCCATCCCGCTTCCGGCACTCACCTGAGGGTTGTAGGCGGTTGCAGGAGCAGAGCCCGTTAGTTTCTGGGTAAAACCACTGAACTTGTAGTACATTTTTCTTCTGAAGGAGGACCGGGACGAGGTGTTATGTACCAAAGAAATCCACCGGTAAGGACCTTCCTGTTGGGACCTTCGAGGGAAAGTGACGCAACAGTTAGCTGACCCAACACTGCCTGTTTAAAAGTCGAACCAAAACGGAGGGCGACCGGAAGCGTACGCGGACAGTTAAATGCAAAGTGTGGACAACAAAATGTCACCAGGAGTTCAAAACAACGGGAAAAAAGAAATGAAAATAGTACACGAAAGGGGGGTGGGAGCCAATCTCAATTTCTATTTCGACTTACTGATTCAAACTTCAGATAGAATAATAAAATTATTAAGTACCTTTTCTGATAATAAACTCTTTAAACTTCTGTCATGCTTTTCAAAATAAACTAAAATAATATGACAGAATAAAAATCAGCCGAATCAGCTTTACACAGACACACACATAAATAAAGAGTTTGGTGAAAAGCTAAACTGAGTCAAGTATTAACTCAAACACTGAACTTCTTTGAAGTTCATTTGTTTTGTGTGAGATCTTATTTAATAGAGACAAATGTCACAATAATACAGTGAAAAGTGTTAAATGGGAATGGCAATACATAAACACTGCTAGCGTCACGGATTTGGTTATATATACCCCATATTTGGGTTCAAATTATTATTTTTCAGTGTGGAAAGTGAAAAACAGGACGGGTTTGAGATTAGCTGACTGAACACGGGTGTGACTGATTAAACAAATGTAATAAGGGCGGGTAAATAATTACAAAAACAAGGAAAGGAAGTCAGAATTGTAAAGAGCCTGGGAATTACAAAATAAAATAGGAATTAACAGGCACCAAAATACAACCAACCACCATAGTGGTGCCTTTATTTAGTGATAATTCTTCTTTGCCATTAAAAGTTTTAAAGTCATAATGTTTTTGTTTTTAATTTCTGTTGGCAGGGTGTCTCTGATCTTTGGACTTTTTAACTGGCTGCTCGATATGTGATGTATTTTAAAATCTCTAACTATCAGAACCACACATTGATAAGTCTGCTGGATTCTCCCTTGTATCAAAAGGCTCTTTCAGTCACACAGTTAGGGTAGCCTTGGCAATATACTTTGGATAGTTACACTCGTGATTAATTCAAGTTTTCGATTAATTTGAGTTTGAAATAGCTGAGAATCATTGATCTCCTAAAAAATAAAAAATAAAACCCTCCATTTTCTACAAATCTACAAATTTTGAATGTTCAAGTAGCAAAAATGTGTTAAAACAAACAAACAAATTAAGTGACATGCATAGTCCCCAGAGAATGAAACCTATGAGTCCCAAAATATTTCTTCTGTGCCACCAGCAGGTCAAAATTTTTGTGGTTTTGAGTGAAATAAGTCAAAAATGTCTGATCATTTTATATTTATTAAGCACTCACACTGCCATCATAATGAAGTTCAGTAACTTTCGATTTGAGAATCTTTCCTCTGGTGTCATCAAGGTCTAAAGGCATAAAGTGTTGTTGGAAATAACTCTAAAGTAGAACATTTTCTGCTCACACATTATTCAAATGGCCTGCTATAAAGAAGTACACCATAAGGATGCATTTATAACAAGCCTTCTTACGTAATTGTTAAAAAAATGTCTTGAATATTTTTTAATTGTTGATCATTCTTTTAAGAGAATTGCAGTTCTTATCGGTGGTTGTGCAATTGTTCAGGACAAAACTATTGTAGAAAAGTGGTACTAGTTGTAACATTAGCTTCATGTGTATGTAACTCCCTAAAAGCCTTGCAGTTACATAATATGTTCACCCCACCGGCTTCATTTGTGTGTGCTTTGTCTTCTGTGTCATGTTTTTTAATTCGTTCTTCCGGGAGCTGTTTTTGTAGCTTAGAACACAGAAAGGCCCATTATAACAAAGTGGCCCATTATAACAAAGTGACACACGGGCCCTATTTAATGGTTTCCAGAGGTGTATAGAGCACCTGCATGCATGAAGGTCACATAACATTATGGTTTTTGTTTGCAAGTCGACATTTGTACTAGTTTCTGCTGTTATTGCAATTAAAATTGTCCCTGAAGAAGATTCCGTTTGCCGTCTTACTTTGGCTGAAAGCAGAATTTGTCTTTTTACACTTCAAAGTTTCTTTTTTTTTCAGTGTCAGCAGCCAAACGCTGCCAAGTGCGGCTTAGTTCCCAGGTTCTGCCTGCTTGCATTTTGACCTTTTGTCTGTTTATTGGACATTGGATGCCTGCCTGTGAATTCCCATTTTAGTTTGTCTGGTTGGATTGCCCTTTCTGGTTTTGGACCCTAGCCTGCTTCAACCTTTACTTCTGCTATATTAGCTCTGCCTCAGGTGTCTGTATGTGGGTCTTATTGTCTGTTGACCTTTAATCCTGTTAGCACCAGTTGTGACTTATAATTGTAAGTCCACCTTTTGCCTTCACAACTATCTTAATTTTTTGTGGCATTCTTTAGACATTTTGGTCTGTATTGACATGATAGCACCGCACAGTTCCTACAGATTTATCAAGTAATAATAAGCAGTTATCTGAACTGCTGTTGCCTTCCTGTGCCACAATCAAACTCACTTAAAACACCTTTCCTCTAAATTCTGATGCTTGGTTTAAACCTCAGCAGGTCATCTTGACCATATCTACATGCCTAAATGCACTGGGTTGCTGCCATGTGATTGGCTGATTAGATATTTGTGTTAACAAGCAGTTGAACAGGTGTGCCTACTAAACATCAGCAGCACTCTTGTGAGCTTCTCAGAGTGTGCCAATTAGAATTTAGCAAAATGAACCGCTGTGCTTTAATACAGCACCACAGAGCGGCTTGCTTCAGCGATCTCAGTAGTTAATGGCAAGAATAAGGGGTTATAAAAACAAAATGAGGAGAAACAAAATTTTGGCCACAATTAAATTAATAAACACCAGCTCTATCAGTAAAAACAGGCAGCGTGATGGTCCATTAGTTGGCACTTTCACCTCAGGGTAAGAAATTTCAGGGTTTCAAGATTCTCTGGTCTACTGGGGCATTGATTTTGAGTTTGCATGTTCTCCCTGTTCTTCCAAGTCCTCTGGCTTCCTCCCACATGCGTGTTAGGTTAATTGTCAGTTCTAAATTGGCTGCAGGTGTGACATAAATAAAGTACTGTATGAACATGTGACTGCTCTTATAGCACCCTGAATTTTTAGAAAAAACAACAGTTTGGTCAATTTATCAGAAGAACTACTAAAAAATGGATACTTGTTTTTTTGAGCCCGCATGTATTTTGTTTTTATGGGGTTTTTTTGTTTTACCTCAGGTGCTTATGACACTAAAAGAGTTGAGTGAGTAAACACAGCTATCAGAGCTCATTGACAGATGTGCAACATGTTGAAAAGGTTTGAGAGCTGAGAACAGTGCGTCAGCATGGCTTTTTTTGGTTTAGTCAATTTACCCTCACGGCAGTACTTTGTGAACCAGACTGCAGTGCAATGCTCGCTTCAGTGTGAATCCAATGAGTGCACTAAATGACCTTGCCAACAGGCTCAGGTGTTCCTCGGGTTAAACGTTACATTCCCACTGCCTCCACAAAGTAATGGGAGAAGGGTTTAAATGGTATTGCGATCATTGCATGAATATTTCTAAATTGCACCTTCACTGATCACATCCTGAGGTCAATTTTTAGTTCTGCTAATTTAATTAAGAATATCATGAGTTTGAATATTGTGAGAGCTGATGATTGAGACTGATAATTTTCAGAACATGACACTGAGATCAGACTATTTTTCTGGCTCAATCTGATTTCTAATTCGCTATTAGACAGTCAGAGGCATTTTGCAAAGAGTAATTTTATTATAAAAGCTCGTACATTGATCACATTAATTACAACTCCAGAGTGTACTGATGAAAATGTTTTGATTGATGGTTTCAATCAGGCCTGGCCAAACTTCACTGGTAAAAAGCAATGCTACATGAATAATGCATTGGAAGGTAGGTAATAAAATATTGATTGTGTTTAATTCAATTGTGCAACTACTTAAAAAGCACATCAATAGCAGCTACGAGGATACGGAGGTGTCTACAGTACACATTAAATACATACAGGGCTGCACAGATTATGAGGATTTAACATATGTAGACTACTATCAGTACAAAGACACAGTGAACAGACTCATTGTTTAAATTTCCCTTGCAAGAAGAAGAGCAGGATTTTGATGCGTGTGTGTAAAAAGAGGATTGTTGATGGCAACAGGAGGAAGAGGAGAGGAGATGCAGAGAAAGACTGTTGTGTGGGAGAGGTGTTGACTTGTTTGTTTGGATCATGTGTCTCTTCAACAAATCGTATCATCTTGGCAAACCGCGCAAACATGTCTGAATCATGAATGTCAGAACCATGACATTGACAGCCTCCATTGTTCTTTTTATTTTTTTCCCTCTACACTTGATTTTTTTCCCCCCTGTACGTTTGTTTTTGGTAATTTTAAATAATCGCTCTGATGCTGTGATATTCCAGATAATCGTAGGACAAAAAAGCTGCGTGCCAGCCAGGAGGTGTGCGTGGATGTAGCCTATTTGTGTGCACACAAATCAACCACAATTATGATTGACATGCTGGAGGATGATGTTGCCTTGGAGACACAGAAATACAAAATGCCTTACATTCACTGGCAAACAGAGAAGCGATGCACGCTGCATCTATTCATTCTTCGTGCTCGGGTTTGAACCACATTCCAACATTTTTGCCCGTAATCTTTTATGCTCACTTTCACACTCCATCTGCCCTGTCATATCTATCTCAGTGTTATTGTCTGCCACCTTGCAGTCCTCGGTGACCTGTCTCCATATTTCATTATCATCGGCTTAACTCCCCCCCACAGACCCTCAAACTAAGCCCTCTGTTTAACTCCTCCATCCCCACTTTGCAGTCCCCTGTTCACTCCTTCTCTTTATTTCACAGGTTTAACAGGATGCATCTAGGTCACACATCAATCTTGTGTAACTTGTACCATCTGTGTGCAAAGCTTAGACAAAGTGAAAGGCTGATGGCCAGACAAACAAACACAAACATACACACACGTTGCACTTGACGCAGCCGTCTCTGCCAGTATTGTAACCAGGGGAATATGAGTAAACAGCAGCCGCTGTCAGATCTGAATTGACTGCACCTGTCTGCGTTTAATAAATAAATATCTGTGTATTCCTATTGTTACGTTTAAATGGGGAAGTTAAGAAGAGAGTCGCACAACATGTTGGTTCAAGACAATGAAAACAAAAGCTTCTATTCTACACATACAAAAGGCTCTGCGATCAGACTTTAATAACCTACAAACTTGGCTGTCAGATAACAAATTACTGCTCAATAAAAACCTGCTTTATGCTCTTTGGCCTGAGACAGAACATCAACTTAAATCTAATTTGCTGCCTTTAACCCATAATGATGCTGGAGCTCTTCAGAAAATAGGGGGAAAAAATGAAATATTTATGCGTGTGGGTTGACTCTGAACTTACCTTCCAACCACACATCGATCATTTTGTGAAGGTAAGCTTTGGTGCTGGTGCTCTGCATTGTTCCACATGAGAGACTTTTTTTTTTCTTTTTACAACCTATTGAAGTGCTTTAACCCTGATCTTCTTCATCTCAATGGTACATACTATGATTTACAATTGGCTGCGCTTTCTTTTTCTTTTTCTTTTTAACATAATGTGACTTAGTAAATACATGATATAATTTTTATTTGTAGTGTTTTTAATGCATTATTTTGATTATAGTCACACTTTTTAAAACTTCTACATCATGTATTAGAAGCTTTGATCTAAACCTGTTTTAAAGTAGATTTTATTCTTTTACTTATGTTCTGTCATATATAATGTTGCACTGGTGAAATCTCATATTAAACAAGGCAAAGTTTAAAAAATAGTGATATGTATGTGTATATGTACAAGTAGCCTTGTGATCCAAAATCTGAGCCTTTAGTCTGCTCTGATGCTCACACTTAGATCTGTGTGATACCAAAAACAGCAGATATACTTAACATGATCATCTCAAGCACACAGCTTTGTCTATGAGTGCAAAAGCCCCAGCCATCAGCCTTTCAGAGCTTCTGTCTGCAAGGGACAGCGAATCAGAAGAAAGTTGGATTAAAGGGAGGGTGCCTTTAAAGGGAGAAAGCTATAACAGCTTATTTCAGACAGTGGGTGAACTGAGCGGTTGCACAAGGCCCTATTGAACAATAATTCATGCAAAGCTATTCTAATAGTATTAAGGAATTAAAACAACAGCATTTATGCTTCATTTTGTGTTTGACTAAAATAAGCTTAGTACCTTTAAATATGAGCTCTGTGTTATTTTTTCACTGACTTGAAAATATCTTGTTTTGTCAACTCAGAGTAGAATAAATTATTGAAAACATAAGCAAACATATTAATTTATTGTTTTACTATTAAGTTAATATATTTGTATAGTCCATCTTTGTATGTCTGGTTTATGTTATTTTCTGTCCTTTTTTTTTTGGTAGGTATACTCCAACATATCTGCCTTGCTGTCTGTATCAGCCTTGTTGACTGATGTTGTTCTACTGGTAAACAAAATGCCATTTACCAATGTCATTCACTGACATTTATATATTTTGCACTGACTAAATGTTCACAGATAGTTGTTTTTATAATGACAATTTGTTTTCCTGATGCAAAGGGGAAATAAAAATAACATCAAAAACAAAATAAACTGAAACACATGATGATATTGCAGAATTTCACAATTGTTAAATGTTATGTTTTCTTAGTCTTCTTTTTTCTGTTTGATATATGAATGTTTAAAGGGTTTTTCTAGGAAATTTATTGTACCTGGATCTAGACTGGACAAAATAAAATCTGGAAGGAAAAAAGGGCACATCAAACATTTGATGGTCTTCTGGTCGTTAGAGTTTCTGTTTGTTGTCGGCAGGATGGTAGGCAGGATATGACATGTTCATCGCAGCATTTCTGCCGACAGGTTGCGTGCATATCTGGCAGAGCGCAGTTTGAGTTCATGGTAGCACTGAACAAAACTGTGGTAGATGAATGTGATGGGCAGCGCCAGGAGCACAATGCCGCTCACTACACACATTCCCCCAAGCACCCGTCCTCCGATTGTTACCGGGTACACATCCCCGTAACCCACTGTTGTCATTGAAATAATAACCCACCAGGCAGCAGCAGGGATGCTGGCATAATCACTGTTCTGGGTCTCCAGATCCAAGCCGTGTTCCAGTAGCTGGGCCAGGGCACTGTATATAGCCATGGCAACGCAGACAAACACCATCAACATGACCATCTCTCGGTAGCAGCGCCTGAGAGTCAGCCCTAGAGTCTGCAGTCCCAGGAAGTGTCTGGCCAGCTTCATGAGCCAGAACACTCTCATCATCCTCAGGACTCGCAGTATGATTCCAGCAACCCCGAGCCCAGCACCCGGCATCCCTGCCCGGGCCATCGCCATAGTGACATAGTAGGGGGTAATGGCAATCACGTCAATGATGTTGAGTGGCCTACGGAGGAAGTCCCACTTGTCTTTAGCCACCAGAAAGCGCACTATGCACTCTGCCGTGAACCAGCCAATACACACTGCCTCCACTATCCTACAGAGAAGATAGAAGAAAGATTAGTTGCACACACTGTAAACAGGAAATGACAGAGGAGGTACAGTGAGATATGGATGGCATGAAATATGAAATACTGCCTGGCAGTCAGTAAATGTGAGGAAGGAGGAAGCAAAGCAAGGGGAGTTAAATGATGGGAAATAAGGAACAAAGCTGTCACAGTTCAGGCCTGGCACAAGTAAACAAAGACAGCAGGACAGATACACGGGCTAGTAAATTTCCGGCAAACTGCACAGAGGGAGGGTTTAAACCCTTCAAAGAAAGACTGTGTCAAAGACGGTCACACAATTACCCCATTGACAAGCAGAGCAAGGCCAGTCAAAATGAATTAGAGAATGATGATTCTTGCATTAGATATAAATGCAGTGAAGCCCAGAAATGACTAAAATACCTGCAAAGCAACTATCAGAATAGTTACACCAACCCAAATTATGTAGCAACTGAGAGAACTGCATCATCTAATGACATGAAACTAAATTGGAATCCTTTTGACCTCAGAGTATACAAGCCACTTGTAGTTGATTACTTAACCACTGTAGCTGATCCAAAACTCAAAACTATGTCCAGCCTGAGGGAGCATAACCTAACCTTATATAGAGAATGGCCAGCTCAGGCTTCCAGGAAAGTACAGGCCAAAATCACGCAGACATGGAGATACACGTTTTCACCTTGCGCCTACATGCTTAAGTTAAAGAAACAAAACTCTGACTTATGATGATTCCTGTAAGTGGCCTAATTTCTTTGTTTGCTTGCACTATTATATAATCCCCTCAGTACACATTCTACTTTTATCTCATTGCCCACTCAAATATTATGAATCTATGATTACCTGATGTTTGTCCTTCATGTGCGCAATGCAGTGTAAACTAAGCAGGACAGTAAACATATTCAGACTAACTGTGAGTAAGGTGGGAAAAATAAGAGGGGAAAGCTATGGATTGGCTATTGTTTTGCTTCCTCGGGGGCCTGTCCGGTTGTCATGTGAGGAGCCTAAGGTGTAATGTGCTGCCTGAAACTTGTCAGCGGGCATATTGACTTCAGGGGCATCAATTCACTAAAGCACAAGAACAAATCCCCTGCAGGCAATGTAATACATGGATGTTTTAAATGCTTGCTTTGCTGTCATTCTTATTTTTATGTTATTATACCAAACATCCTAGAAAACACTCAAAAAGCTGAGGTAGAAAACATCTCAATGCATCCACCTCGTGGTTAATATTAGTGCGCAATGACTTTGGCCGTTGCCTTGAACTCATGCATGATCAAATGTTAAGAGGTATATTTATTTATTTATTTATGCTACTTGTAATGACAAAATCAAATATTTGACACGATTTCATCTGTTCAGCTCACTTTTACACAAGACAGTCTCAGTTGTAGGATATCCGCACACATTGCGCCTAAACATTTGGCAGCATTTTCATTAGGGGGCTTCTATTCCTTCAAGTTAACTGACCCTTGACAATCGCCTACCTGTGTTCCTCCACAGTAGTTCTCTTGGCTGTATCCCAATCCGGCAGGGTGCTAGCGCACAGCATGATCATAGAAACGATAACAAAGATCACTGACACTGAAGCCAAAAGCTGCGCTACAAGGGAAGAGTTGGGCTCCTCAAAAGCCTTGCGCATTTTCTCGAGCCACCTAGCGCGACATGTGAGCTCAGCCTCTTGCACTGACTCCCCTGTGCTCTGGGGCTCATCCTCAATGTCCCCCTCAGAGAGTGTGTCCAGTCCGATGTCGGACATCCTATCGTCCAGGCGTTTCTGGCAGCAGGAGTCCAAGTGCGCGCTCTCCAGTCCCCAGTAGAGCATCTCTGTGTAGAAGGACAGCTCACACACTCCGGGAACAAATCGGAGTTTGCCGGAGCGCACGTACAACATAATAAACACGAAAGCCTGAGCGTGGCGGTCGAAGAAAAACTCATTCCGGTCCCGATCATAGTCATCGCAGAGTTCGAGGACCTCTTTCTCGGTTGCGCAGGCAATCAGGCGGCTGACGCGTCGAAGAGGGAAATCCCTGATCACCTCACGGGTGAAGGCGTACCGGGTTCCCCCGACGTTAAGCACGCAGATGCTCTTTCCGAACTTCATTTTGACAACTTAAATCATGAAAGCCTAAAAGAACTCCTCTTCACAGTCCATTCTTCCTTCCATCGCAGGAGTTTGGGCACTTGGGGAACTCGTCTTCCCTGCCCCGGGGCGTGGTTCGCTTTGAGTGAAGGTGGCCCTGCGCTGAGGTCCGTGCCTGCTAACTGGAAACTCGTCCCTCTGCCATTGACTCTATTCTCCGTCTCCCTCTGTAGCCTGAAGAAGAGACTCATCCCCCCAGTCAGCTCCAGCCAATCCCATCAGTGATGTCACAAGCGCGCGCGCGGACACACGCAGAGAAAAATCCATAAGCAACAGGAGTATAGAGCGTAATATGTGATTTAAGTCCACAGTGGAGACTGCTTCTTCCTACAAAATACTGTTTAGATTCTCATGGAAGCAGATGAGAAATTATCGTCAAACATGATGAAAACCGGGAGGAAAATTCTTGTTTAAGAAAGCTTAGTTATGTCTCACTGTAATATTCCCTGTTACACTGACAAAAAATAGATGTGAAGCTTGTGTTTGATATGCTTGCACCATTATTAAAATTTAGACCATTTTATATTATTTGATTAAGATAGATAGAGATACTTATATACACCAGCTCTGACTTGTGAAACAAAAGGTACATTATTGTGAGGTAAGTATAATAGAAAAAAAAATAAATAGCAAGAGAAATATATGCACACATGTATAATTTATTATTGTTATTATTGCTAGTATTATTATTATACAAATAAAACTTTTTTTTACTATTATTTTGATTTCTGCAGATTTGTGCAGCTTTATTTATTTATGTATTTGTTTTGAACAAACATAGAAAATAGTAAATATTTTAACTTAGCAATGCAAATATTCTATACCAGCTCATTTGATAGCAAAATAAAATAATAATAATATCTACATCAATGTTTTAGCCGTGCGACAAACTGGCGACCTGTCCAGGGTGTACCCTGCCTCTGCCTGACTGATAAGGATAAGCGAAAGGGAATGGATGGATGGATGGATGTCTACATCAAGTATACAAAACATAATCATATATTGAATCTTCTTCTTCTTTCGGATATCGCCACAGCATCATCTGCCTTCATCTCACTATGTCACTGTTACATCAACCATCTGCATATCTTTCTTCAATACAGCCATAAATCTTCTCCGAAGTCTTCTACTTTTACTACAGCCTGGAAGGTAAATCTTTAACATTCTTTTTAATAATAATAATAATAATAATAATAATAATAATAACAACAACAACAACAACACAGAGACTTCTTCATGTAAACAGTTCCTTTTAAGTTTTAGAGCCCTTTCTGATTGGTTAGGAATTTTAGAGAGACTCAGTTTCAATGATTAGATTAAAGTTTAAACCTCTGGCTTTACAGAGATAAAAATGTCCTAAAAAATAATGTACATACTGCTTTCTTATGTTTTCTGAGGTGGGCTGGTGTCTGCGCGTGTGGGCCGCGTGTGGTTGTGCTGCGCGTGCGCGGGCCCCCTCCAGCGTCAGCAGTGGTTTTTCGGGTTGATCCGACTTCTTTTGGCTGCCGTGAGTTAACTGTATCATAAAGGGTGCTGTGACTCGAAGGAGGAGGGGGGGTTGAATTGCCATAATTCTCCCGATAGGTTACACATCCGGAGTCCCGACCATCTTAATTTGTCGCTCCTCTTCCCTTCAAAGAGAGTAACTTTTATTGTTTTTATTAATTTATTCCATTTCTCTTAGTTTATGGTTTGCACACTGGGAGGGCAGAAATGGCGGCCAACATGTACCGGGTCGGAGGTATGTATGTCAATGTGGATCTTTTTATCAAAGAGAAACCGTTACAGTTTTGCACCTTCTGGGCGTTATTTTGTGTTATTTTGAGCCGTTTGCATTTAATGGTGGAGATGCGGATGTGCTACAGCAACGTGGACGCGTTAAGTTGAAGCAGGAAGGTGAGAGTTGGTGTATATTTGAGATTCAAAATGGGTCAGGCCTCGCGTCTGTCGTGGCCACAGCAGCTAGCCGCCAGCTTGCTAAATGGTTAGCTGGCAATGTAAACATTTTTCACTTGTTTGCTGCTCCCCGGGTTTCTGAATTCTTAGACCACGGGATACAGGGGGCTTCTACACGGATAGACCTCACGACTAGACGTGTGTTTCAAAGGTTGTTAACATGCTACCACGAACAGTCTGAAGCTGCCTTTGTATTTGCCACTCCTGGCATGCAGCCATTAGTACGAGACCTTATTTAGCTAACGTTAGCACCAGCGATGGCTTCACTGATTACCATTAATGCCGTCTCAGCGCTCGTTTGCTGCATTTAATGATCGTATTTAACCATCTCGGTAACATCAGGTGCCAAACTGTTTTGCCAAAGTGACCACCTACAGTAACCACAAGTGCAATTAATTATCAAACAGGGATGCAGGCTGGCTGATTTGCTAGCTAGCTCCTTAGCAGTCTACTGGAATTCAACATCAAATTATTGTCTCCGCGCATGGCGTCGCTGCGTCTGCTTTTACACATTTATTCACGAATACTTGAGCTTTAAATCCATACACAGACGGCCACGTAGCCTAATTTCATTAATGCTTGACATGCCACGCAAACTATAGGCGTCTAATGACATATCTTGCAGCACTGTATAACCGGTATTTTCGAGGTGCATCAGCTTATTGTCCCCTCACGTCACCTTTAGGCTAACTTCTGCTGCTTTTAGGTGCTCATTGTAAACTCCGTGAACTTGTCGGTAGGGCACACAAACTTCCAGGTACATTCAGGTACAGGTTTTCTCCCTGTATGGAACAAGTCTTAACAAATGTAGTCAGTATTTTGCTGCTACATTGCAAACAAAAAAAGATGGGATCTGTAGTTTATTCATTTATTTAGGGTTTGTTTTGGTTTTGATTTTTTACAGCATTGCAACACTGATGTGCAGTACATTCCCATCCCAGAGGCTGAGGGTTATCATACACATTAGCATGATGATACATAGACTTTAATGACATGCATGAAGTGATACGAATTTTGACAACTCTGACAAATATGCCGCTGCACCATTTAAAAGTCTGGAACATGTGAAATGAAATATTACAGACTTTGTGTGAATGCTGCCTTTGCCACAACCTAAAGTTCTGTAAAGTTTAATAAAAAAAATAGAGATATTGTTACATTTATTTTATTTGTCTCATTTGTTGGGACCTGGCAGTGTCTAGAAGACACATAAGCTGGAAGAAAGACTGGGATTCAAACCAGTGCTTCTGCATTAGGCTTACGGCATATGGGTCATCTACTCAAACCCAGAGAGCTATACTGGCATCTGGTGATGTTATTTATATGCATGGGCAAGCTTTTTTTTTTTTTTTTAATGGCATATTGAAGTTTTTATTCTCTTTAATTAATTTTTTCATACAAACTGAAACAGTGTGGTAACATATGGCAACAAGTTGAAAGACTGATAATTTTGCACTTTTATTCACCCATAACTTGGTGGTTGTTGACTAGGAATTTTTCCTTTTAACATTTCTGGTGCAACACTTTCTGAAAGTCACAACTTTGCACATATTTATTGATTAAAGGACATACATATTCATTGATTTGACCTACTGTAGCGCCAATGTATTAGTTCATGTGGTCTATATATTTAAATATATGATGTGCGTGTTTCCTGTTGCAGACTATGTATTCTTTGAGAACTCCTCCAGTAACCCTTACCTGATCCGTCGGATAGAAGAACTCAATAAGGTACTGATGTGTGCGTTTTTCATTTTCATGGGTGTGAGAATATGTTAGAGAATTCCTTGAATTCCTCTGTGCTCCTGTCCCCACCCCATCACTTTCCCATTGTTTGTGTGGATTTTGTGACCTTGTTTGTAATATGGCTTGAAAAGACAGGTGTTCCCTGATCTACCAACTGTCATTAGTATGACTTGACACACCTGTGTGTGTAGGCGGGGTGATTATTATCAACATTTCACAAGCTCATGTAGCTTTGTGCTAAAGATGCAGATTTATTTTAATTATAAGCTGATACCAACCTTGAACAGCAGTGTTGTTGCTCTCTCTTTTCTCTCTCGGCATTTTACCGTAATTCCTGTTTTATTTTGTTTGAAATCCTTCACAAGCATCGTTAATAGGTGTGTAAAAGCTTTTCCTGTGTCATGCTTGCACTGAGATGTTCAGATAAATGCAGGTCATTATTAGATTGTGTGGGTGGAATAATGCTAGATCACATTATCATCCTGAAAGAGTGTACTGAGGCTCAATGTTATAATCTAAAGACAGGAGACATCGTAATTATCATAAATGATGAAGTAACAGGAAGTCCCTGCAGCATGATACTATTTAATAAAGCTCTGCTGTTGCAAATACAAGCTGTATGAAGCTTATCGTGTTGGTAAAGGTGAAATGGAGTGCTTGATCAAGCACGATGGACATTTTTGTGGCTTTAGCTAGTGCATCGATATGCACATTGTTGTTCCTGTTATTTACTCCAGATCCCTTTTTTATATAGATACATTTGCTACATTTGCTTTTGTACACAAACTTGGAAGCAGGTAGGTGGGGAGTATATGTTGTTTCTTTTTCTTCTTCAATCCTTTTTCAAACCTTTTACCCCCACATCTAGTCATCAGTCACGACATTTAATACTGGCTGAGTTTGAGCACAGCTTGATAGGTACACAAAGGAGCCAGGTCTCTTGGGAAATTACAGGGTTGCACAGGTAGGTGTTGCCACTTATTTGAGTCAACCTGGATGTCTCTCCTCCTCTCTTTTAGACTGCCAGTGGGAACGTGGAGGCCAAGGTAGTTTGTTTCTACAGAAGGAGAGACATCTCCCACAGCCTCATCCAGCTTGCAGATAAACATGCAAGTGAGTATCAGTTGTGACACATCATATGTGAATGATTCCTTTCAAGCATCTGTGTAAAACAGTACAGTTTCTTTAGATTGTGTTTGCATTAATACACATTAAACTGTTGTATTTGCATTAGAGGGTTCTGTGCTCTAATTCACCAT